GGATACACATGCTCTCCTGTTGCACTCACCTATTTGTGCATAGTGCAGACGGTGACCGTGGCGTTTGAACTGTCCGTTGGTCCGTCCCACATACCACCAACGCCCACACTCACACACATGCGTGATATCTGTGGGTGTCGGTTGTTAATGATTAGTTCACACTCGCATACTAATTAGTTCACACTCGCATACTAATTAGTCCACACTCGCATACTAATTAGTTCACACTCGCATATCAAATAGTTCACACTCGCATACTAATTAGTTCACACTCGCATACTAATTAGTTCACACTCGCATACTAATTAGTCCACACTCGCATACTAATTAGTTCACACTCGCATATCAAATAGTTCACACTCGCATACTAATTAGTTCACACTCGCATATTAAATAGTTCACACTCGCATACTAATTAGGTCACACTCGCATATCAAATAGTTCACGCTCACATACTAATTAGTTCGCACTTGCATACTAATTGGTTCACACTCGTGTATTAAATAGTTCACACTCGCAGACTAATTAGTTCATACTCGCATATTAAATAATTCACACACTCTCGCATACTAATTAGTTCGCACTCGCATATTAATTAGTTCACACTGTCACACGTGCGCGATGCCCCTCACTGATTTCAGAACAGCCATGGTAGCGGTTTGCCTTGTTACAGAGTCGCCATCCGCACTGCTTAATGGCGATAGGGTTTTGGGATTTACATGAACGGAACCCTCACAGTGACTGTGTGAGCTCGATTGCCCACACTAGTTGTAAGTGTACGCATGTGGCATTGGCGTCAAAGTGCGTATGTACACACCCGTCCTGTGGTTGTGTGACCTCATGCACAAGCGTAGAGTGTGCATGTAACAGAACCTCAAAACCGCATACAGTACTTGCAGCCCATGAGACTGTACGCAAATGAGAGGTATGAAGTACTTGACAATGCGTGCGTTTCACCGGTGACACTGTGAGTGTTCGTGCGCATTTGGCTGATCTTTCTATTGGCCCCCCCTCACCAGCACACTCTTGGTTGGGACCGCCAAAGCAGTATCTAAGGGCACGTGACAGCACTAAACATACCAAACATCATGAGTGTAGTATGAAGGGTCAGGTGATAATACTAAACTAATCCAACACCATGAGTGTAGTGTGAAGGGTCAGGTGATAGTACTAAACTAATCAAACACCATGAGTGTAATCGTATACAGCGTCCAACTGGCGATACTCGATGCAATAGATACGCACTCGCCCGTAGATGCGTAACCGAAACGTCCCTATCACGTGGCGTGTAAACTCAAAACCGGTTTTTCCCGGTACCAGAACCATGGGTTTTTTTTGTGCGTATAGCCGTACGTATACTCACCGCCCGATCTCCGGAATTCACCGTACGGCATTCCCTGGATATCACACACGCGCGCCAGCCCGCCAATATATATCTCCTGCTCACTCTTATCCTGCACCACAGTCGGGTTTACCTACAGAAACGCATGACATGTTGAGTATAGTACTCTTATCCTGTACCACAGTCGGCTTACACACGCACACACACAATGACATGCTATATACATCTACCATATCTACGTATGCACACACACACACAATCACATGCTATATACAACACACACACACAATCACATGCTATATACAACACACACAATTACATGCTATATACAACTACCCCAACTACGTATGCACACACACACACAATCACATGCTATATACACCACATATACACATAGTTACATGCTGTATACACCTACCCCATCTACGTATGTACACACACGCACGGTTCCACATAGACACACCTTCACCTCCACCGACGGCAAGGCCTTTCCCAGAGGAAACGAATCCTCGGCGTAAGTGCGACAGGTCAGTCGTCCGCAATGCGCAGCCCCTGCCATCAACTGCAGTCCATTCGCCTTTGTAGGTGTTCCGGGGGGTGCTGTTGTAGCGTCGGTCGCCGTTACCAGACTGGCAGGCCGTGGGCGCTCGTTCGGTCTACGGCTCATACCTACCAAAGTACCTACACGATGACTCATAGCCCATACCGACAGTTCCGTTGTGCCGTACAGATTGAATAGCGCTACGCCGTGGCGCGCACTGATTGGTTTGTGCGTGGCTGCAGTTGAGTCGCACTCGGATGTCCCCACCTGCGCTGGTGGGTTTGTATCCAGGGGACTCCTGGAGGTTGTGCTTGTTGCTGCAGAATCCCATTTCTCAATTTTCATTGGCGTAGAGGTAAGCCATTGCTTGATTTTGATTGGACCAGGGAACTGCTCGCCACCGAGTGCGACCAATCGCAGACGACTCTGTGCCGAGCAAGCAATCTCATTGGGCAGCCGTAGAAGGAACGACGGGGTGCAATGCAAGACAGTCACCTACAACGAAGGCGACAATGGGTACAGTTGAATACATTCGGTGTTGAATTTCGTTGTGAGGTGACAGTATGATACTCCTGAGACAGAAATATGTTTGAATTACTAGGACATCTAGAGGAGAGTACACATTCTGCTTATATATATGTAAATACACGCGCACACACACACAAATAT